AGTCCCAACCTACCGTCTTCATCTAAATAATAATTAAAGGGACACTATAGTCACCAGAACAACTACGTATTGCATTTGTTCTGGTAAGTAGAATCATTCCCTTCAGGCTTTTTGCTGTAAACACGGTCTTTCCAGAGAAAATGCAGTGTTTACATTACAGCCTAGTGATAACTTCACTGGCCACTCCTTAGATGGCTGCTAGAGCTGCTTCCTATCTCAGTCTTGCCTAGTTTGAATCACAACATTCAGTATCTCCTCCCTCTGCTTGCAGACACTGAACATTGCTCAAAGAGATTCATTGATTCAATTCATCTCTATGAAAAGATGCTGACTGGCCAGGGCTGTGTTTGACTTGTGCTGGCTCTGCCCCTGATCTGCCTCCTTCACTGTCTCAGACAATCCTATGGGGAAGCATTGTGACTGGCTCATAAGAACATTTCTGATGATGTCAGCAGGCAGCTTGCTGTTCTGAGGCAAACAGGGACAAAACCAGCAGCTACAGGCTTGAATACAAGTAAGATTTAACTATATTTAGGGAGGCAAGAGGGGGCCAGGTGGACTAGATGGTAGTTTTACCACTATAGGGTCAGAAATATATGTTTGTGTACCTGACCCTATAGTGCTCCTTTAATTAATTAATTGTTAGGCAGGGCAATAAATCTAAAACATGTATAAAATAAAAAAATAAAATTTTTACTTACCATCAGACATTTTCTTTCTCCTACCCCTCTCCCTCTCCTTTATATAGGTCTGCAATATGACCAATATCATTCTGATTGGTTGACTGGAGAGATGTCTCACTTGGGGGATATGCTATTATACTTTTTTTTGGGGGGGGGGCGGGAGGGGGTGAACAGTGGCATGCCCACCCCCCCTCTATAAGATTATTTAAGGCCCCCACACATCATGAATAGGTGTGGGTCAGGGGCAGCACTAGGGCCATTTATAGAGACAGGGCAGCACTGCCAGTAGGCAAATAGTTGAAATTAGCATTCACTTGAAAAAATTAAGTGAATGATAATTTGCGAATGTGCATATTGCTGGATGCATTTTGTTTATCTATAGTTGCCATGCAGTCGTTGATAAACCTTGATTCCTGTGCTATAAATTGGTTGGATAGGGCTATTATCTGATTTTCTGAATACTTCTGCATGTTAAATGATCGTTTGGACCTACAAAATCCTGATTGCATTTGGCTTTTGTAAATCGCAAATTGCCAATGCTGTCGGAATTTGGTCTCTTTCACCGTATTTTGTCCATTCTGGAAAAAGCCAGTGCTGAGTGAATACCCTTATAGTGTGCTTTAATCAATTTAAAAAAAAAAAAAAAATTCTGCTAAAACAGCAATTTTTTTTTTTTTTTGTTTGTTTACAGCACTGAGATATGCTAGAAAGCCTAATTACAAAATGCATAAAGCCAGTTTGTAAATGACAATCACTCAACCCTATTCAATTAGCGGACAAACATTTGCAGATAAAACAACGTGTTTCCTCCACAGGATGTGGGGATTGAACAAGGCTTAATCGTTTCTATAAGATCATATGGAGAAGATGTATTTCTAATTAAACAAGTGCACGACAGAGGAAGCAGAACTATAATAGCACAATCTTATTTACATGGCAGAAGATGGACAGAGTTAGCTCTGCAGACTATTATGTTACAAAATGACTAAGAAGTACCGTGCTAAATATTTATAAGCTTAAAATGAAATCAGACAAACAAAATATTTCATCAGACTAAACACGGCTTAAAATATACTTGGAAAAAATCACACTTCAATGAGTAATTATGGAGTGATGAACTTAAAATTACATTCCAGCATGTAGAGCTGGAATATACAAATTAAAATAATTGCAAAAGCTATATTTACCATATACATGCATAATTAAATTCGACTGGAATACACCTGGTTTTTCAAAGTAAGAGGCAAAATACTACATTTATGCTTACTGATCAATTCATTTTCATCTGTGTGGTCACAGTTGATTAGAATCCATTACTTGTAGGAAACCAGACTCTGGCAAAATCATCAGGCACCAGTAGCCAAATGAGATAAAACACCAGAGAGGGGCCTTATGGACAGCAAACTGACCTTCTCAATGAGCAAGCATTTCATTTTACATCTTAAAGTCCTCACGGTCCAGGAGAATCCATTACTGGTGTGATACAGTATAACCAAGCAATACTAACACGAGGTCCATAAAAAAATTTGGCACAGAAAATGGTGTAGGAGACTAAATAAAACAACGGTTTGTAGAATTTTCCTGACAAATAAAGTGGGTGTCACCAGTGATGCAATTTCCATTACTGGCATACTCCCTCACATTGCCCATACATGCCATCCCAATTGCATATCTCTCAATGGTATTAGAGACATAGGACATGTTGGAGCTGAAAAGAGGTAAGTAATGTTACTTTCTAAAAACTTTCTAAGTGAAATAGAGACCAAATGGAAGTCTAAAGAAGAGATTTTGCCTTTTTAACTGATTATTTGCTGCATAAAACATTCAAAATGGATCACTGGAGTGATTTTAGAAAGTAATGTCAAGCAAATGTCATGTATATAATTAGAGTGCCTGTTAAAAAGTACTTTATAAATACTAGTAATAACACATTATTTTATATAATGCAGTAATAACAAATAGGGGTGCTCTCCAACATGTACGGTCTCTAGAATGAGATTGCTTTAAGAACATTTTTTTTTTTTAAATGTATCCAAGGCTCAGTATTGCAAGCCTTGAAAATCTATTATGGATAACACAAAGTTTCTAGAATACCGAGTAGATATCCCTAAACACCTCTTCTTGAACCCTATACCCTCCCAAAATATTATATAACAGAATACTGCATAAGCAGCATCTTTCAAACCCACAGAGAAATGTCATGGAAACAAAAGCTCTCACCATGGTAACATCATCTTGAACATTACAAAAACACCTTCCACTATCAAATGCACTCTTTGACAGGATGTTTACACACACCTCATTTTCATTTCACAGATCAGAAAGAACATACACTGACTGCTGAGAATCACAAATCCAAAGTTGCTTGCATAAGGTCAGATGGAACACTAGAACAAAAGGTGCAGATCATGTTAACCATGCAAGCAAGTAGTATTGTCAGTTTTAAGATTTCTTTTGTTCTATTTTAACAGAAATGTGTAGATGCATTCTAAGTGTCCCACAGACCGCGGTATACAGGCTAAAGGTCCCAATGGCCAACTAAATTCAGTATTATTTTGTCATGAATACTTAAGCAGTAGAAAACTGAGACTCATAGTTTTAATAAGGTAAGTTTTGAACATAGGATGGTTTGTGGGGGAAAAATTTACTTTGTATTATCTTAAGAGACAATGGCTACTATTGAAAAGTAGCTAGTTCATTATACAAAAAAAAAAAAAAAAAGCCAGAGGTAGTGTATTAGTTCAATAAAGTTACAATTTTGAGATGGACCTGCAATATTAAAAACACAATAACGAAAGGAAAGGAAAATTTAATCTTACTTGATGGGGAGATAAAAAATATTTAAGGCTTTGTCTATAGAAGATACTATGGTCTAGCAGGATCCTCCATAGACATTAGTGTTGTACTCTTCTTGCACATGCTCGACTGTACAGCACTAACATTTGATTCTAGCAGATGCAGCTAGGAGCTGAAAACCCTGCAGAAGAAAATATAGGTGGCCACAAAGGACATATTCAGGTAAATAAAACTCATTTTTCTCTGCACCCTGAGGCCACTGCAAGGAGGTGCTGATTGGCCAAGCTGGCTTTTTGCCCCGCCTCCTTGCCGATTTCAGACTTTTGGGAAAGCATTGGATTGGCTGAAATTACAATTTCTGATGTAAGCAACCAGGCAGATAAGTGGCGGGACCAGCGCGGCACTGGAAATAAAGTCAGTTTTCTTACCTTCTATGAGGGCTAAAGGGGGGAGGGAGTGCAAAAGCCACGTAAATGGTGGTTTTAACACCATACACGTGTTCCTTTATTGAGATGTTAGTATTCTGGGCTGGCTGAGTGACATACGAATGTACCAAGTTGTTGCTGATTACTCAGTATTTACAGCAACTTTTTGCAGTAAAGTAAAAAGCCTGAGATATCTAGTGGCTCTGACACTTTTGAGCTATCCATAAAGATATAAACTTTATAAAAAGCTATTTTTGACATAGTTGAAATATCTATGAAATTCCAGTGCACTGAATAGGTTTAGATCAGACAAAGTAGGGACCACTACCAGGAGCATAAAAAAAATGAAGGTGTCAAGAAGATAGTGGATTAAGGTAAGGAACTGTTAAAGCAACGGTTGCACTCCCAGCCACTTTAACGCATGGTTTTTTTTTTTAGGTGAGCCCTCTAAGCATTAAAATATAACCCAACAACCTAGCTTTGGTGAGACAGTCTCAGGGTCCTGTCCTATCATCCTGCTTTTGGGGACCCCAGATGCCCTAGGGAGTGCACTCCACATATTCAGCCACTGGACAGATCTCTTTAACAACATGCTACGTATGGGCAGCCTGGAGTTGGCCTGTCATCCTGGACAGCAATTATGTCATGCAAACACCAAAAAAATCTCCAGGCACTCAAGGTGTTTAAGCCACAGGAAGGTTTAATGGAGCAGAAAAGAGAGCAGAAAAGCTTCGACCTGCTAAGAGGTCTTTGTCAAGGTTTACTCAAAGACCTCTTAGCAGATCGAAACGTTGCTGCTCTTTTTTCTGTTCCATTAAACCATCCTGTGGCTTAAACACCTTGAGCGCCTGGAGATTTTCTTGTCGGTCATGTGATCTCTCTGAAAGATCGATCAAATGGCCGCAATAGTCGCCATAGTACTGCCTGCAGGGGGACAGCCACAACTGACAGGCAGTCTCCCTGCTTCTGTTAAAATATAAAAAAAGTTAATAAATAAATAAAAATATATACATATATTTATATATGTATAGCAGAAAGTAGATGGCTGCACTCGGTCTTCCAAGTAAAAAACAAACTTTTATTATAACATTTTAAAATCAGGATCAACGTTTCAGTCTTCTCCAAGGACTTTCCTCATGATCCTGATGAAAGTCCTTGGAGAGGACTGAAACGTTGATCCTGATTTTAAAATGTTATAATAAAAGTTAACTTTTACTTGGAAGACCGTGAGTGCAGCCATCTACTTTCTGCTATCTATTTTGGAGCCCTGGTAGTGCACCCGGCTAAGAAGATTTTTTGCAGCTTGAGTGCAAGGTATTGTAGTAAGTATATATATATATATATATATATATATATATATATATATATATATATATATATATATATATATATATATATATATATATATATATATATATACACACTATCCCTGACCAAGCATGTTACAGACCATTTGATCTAAAGAAAGAACTCTCAAGTTAAGACCTTTGTGGGATACAATATTGCTATTCTATTATATTTATTTTGTGTGGCGCAGCCTCTTCCCTGTATTTTCTCTTCTGTTGTTATTAAGGTGACTTTGAGGGATTCCCTTTGTGGTTGCTGCCTTATCTATTACTTAGCGCTGACTCTCTATTTGTGATATATATATATATATTATAAAATATAAATAAAAATCAAATAAAATAAAAAAAATGTATATGTATGTAAATTTATTCTAACTGTATTTTGATATATATATATCAAAATACACTAAGAATTTAATTATATATATCTATGTATATGTAAATAAAAATAATACAAAATATATTATATATATATATGTATATATATATATATATATACACACATACATATATATATCCAAATACATAGACTTCAAATATATATATAAAAATTGTATGTGCATATTTATGTAATACTTTTACATAATTAAGTAATTTTATTGATTGCAATGTGAGGGACCTGCCTGACAACCCAGGCAGAAAGTCCAGCGAATTTAATTTGCTAGTACTGTATTTAACCCTGTAACTTTCCATGACACCCTACAACCTGCACATGGGGGGTACTGTTTTACTCGGGAGACTTCGTTGAACACAAATATTAGTGTTTCAAAACAGTAAAACATATCACAGCGATGATATTGTCAGTGAAAGTGATGTTTTTTGCATTTTTCACTATTGATATCATTGTTGTGATACGTTTTACTGTTTTGAAACACTAATATTTGTGTTCAGCAAAGTCTCCAAAGTATAACCGTATTCCCCCCATATGTACAGGTTTTATAGTGTTTTTGAAAGTTACTGGGTCAAATATAAGGCTTGATTTTCTGTTTTTTTCACACTGAAATTTTCCAGATTGGTTATTGTGCCTTTGAGAGTGTATGGTAGCCCAGGAATGAGAATTACCTCCATGATGGCATACCATTTTAAGACAACCCAAGGTATTGCAAATGGGGTATGTTAAGTTGTTTTTTTTAGTAGCCACTTAGTCACAAACACTGGCCAAAGTTAGCGCTCATAATTGTTTTTTGCATATTTAACACACAAACAAATATCAATGCTAACCTTGGGCAGTGTTTGTGACTAAGTGGCTACTAAAAAAGACTGGACATACCCCATATTGAATATCCTGGGTTGTCCACTTTAAAAAACATGTTAGGTGTGATTCGGAGGTCTATGACAGTTAACAGTGTTACAATGTCACTATTGATACATTTTAAAAATATATATTTTAAAACAGCAATGTCCTACTTGTACTTATAGCCCTATAACTTGCAAAAAGCTAACGGTCTGGTCACTAAGGGGTTAAGAAGGAACGCAATACAGCTTACTGTAGTTGTTACTACTCTAAGAATCTGTGATTACAACCCCTTCCCCACTCTGTGTCAAACCATTCACAAGTTGTTTTGGGCTGCTAAGAAATATGCTGTAAAATCTTAAGATTTTATACCATAACTAGATTAATCCATTTATGCATAAATAAAACAAACTGTAGTGAATATCCGGCTCTGAAGAGTTCCTTTAAGAGATCTATAATATTTATATATAAAACAGAGCAATGGGGCACTTGTCTCCATTTTTCCTTATTTTAAGGGAATAAATCAAAATGTTGGACTGGTACAGGAGGACTGAAATCTTCCCTTTAACATTTAGTTAAAAAAATTAAAAATGTTAATATAAGACAATAAGTAAATATCCAACTTGACAGTTACAGTCTGATTTAGCAATATTTATTTCTATGCACCTTCCTCCCTTAGGCAACATAAAACCGGATGCAGGGCTCTATTTAATAAGAGTTCCAAATTATTTAATACTGTTAGAGAAACTTTCAAATGATTTATCTTGAGGAGCTACCATTAAAGTCCATGGGAATTTTTGTAGGAAAATCATTTGGAAAGTTTTTTTAATAGTACTGAATCACTTGGAAAGCTTGTAATATGAAAGACTTAATTCCACAAACCACTTGTTGGGACGTATATCTATTTTCTTATAATCTAAACTAAGGGAAATGCTTACAAAAGCAACAAATTGTAGAAAACTTACAACTGAGTTAGAAAATAAAACTGTACTGGCATTTTTCCAGCTTCGTTATTTTTTTTTTTTTTTAGGTCTGTGACAAAGAAATAAATACCAAAATAAATACTGAATACCAAGTTTCCAAAGGCTACATGCTGGCATAGAAACACCAATCCTTAACTGCCCTATCTGATTTAGACATGTAGTATTGTCTGTTTACAATCAGATGAGAGAATCTGATTAAGAGATACCAAAGACACTCAAGTAATAAATAATGTAAAAAATAAATTAGAAAGAAAAACAGGGAAGTGTCTTGCTGTGAAGTTCTGCAATTATCAAGTGCAGCCAACTTGCCATGTAGAGTACAGTTTGTCAGTCATGAAGAACTACAGCTGAGCTACATCTGCTTTGAATAGCTAAAGTACAAAGTGCGTATTTACATATTTATTTACACAACACAACATATCTTGCAGCATTCAACAGTAAGATAGCCGAGAGCTACCCTGAAGCTGTTGGAATTTAGAACTAAAGCACGTTCAAGCAGATTCGTAACATAAGTGAAGAAAAAAAACGAACAACTGGAAACCAATAACTGAAGTTCAATTCCACAGAATCTGTACTTTTTTTTTTTTTTTAAACCAAATGGGAACAGACATTTTGCAGGATTTGTGTTATTACATTTACTTATTATCCTCTATCTTAAACAAATGTGTTTTTGAGATCTTAAAAAGGAAAAACAGATACACACTTCTCTACCCTGGAACAGATAGAGTGCCTCTATCTTGGCGCTTTCAATCATTGTCTAAATTCTGCCCTTTGCTCCTTTCAGTCAACATAGAACAAGCAAACTCTGTTTCTCCTTTTAAAATGACATGTATGCCCCCTGCCTATGCCTGGAGTAAACTGGTTTGTGATGTTACATTTTCATTAAAAAAAAAAAAAGAGAAAAAAAATAGCATTACACTAAAAATGGTCAATTAAATTTATAGTTCAAAGTTTTATTCAATGGAACACATTCCAGAAAAGTAATGGATACTATAGGCATCAAAATAACTTAGTGAATCCGTTTGAGTCTATAGATCATGCACCTGCAGTCTCACATCTCAATTTTATTAAGACACGGAGGCTCCTATTATGCTGCACTCTTTTCTCTTCCCATAGCAGAAAAGAAAAAAATAACTTTAAAATCAGTATAAGAAACCGTAAATAACACGAGAGGTATATCTTTCTAACGACAGGAACAGCCTATCAGATTCCACTCCTCAGCATAATATACTCTGTTCAATAAACTACTTCCTTTTTCTTTGCTGCTGCCTCAGTTAAGTATACCAGGCCCCACGGTTTCTTAACTGTGGGATTTTTTTCCCTTTACATTCATCTCATTACAGTGTAGTTTATTTACTCTATTTATATTATTATAGTATGTGTTACCACATATTGTTATCATTTTATTCTTTTATTGTTATTCATTATATATATGTATATATATATATATATATATATATATATATATATATATATATATATATATATATATATATATATATATATATATATATATATATATATATTATTTCTATTATCTCTTTGACTTATTTTCTTCCCTCGGACCTCCCTGGCCCCGAATTCCTCTTTTAGGCTCAAGGATGTTGTTAGACTCTCGGTTCAGCACTTTTGAGCCATATTTTTTGCTTGAATTCAGCTGTTTGGCCTCAATTTTTATAATCTTTATTTTATTTGTGCACGAGATAACATAAAAGCTGACGATGCCACAACAGCATAGTACAAGCCCATTAAAGAAAGGTATTTCATATAGATGGCATTGAATTATTGGCACATTTTGGTATTTGTAAGAGGATAAACAAGCTAGGTACACACATCTAATTGTAAGTCACCAGAGTGACAAGCAGTAACATCAGTATGCATAATGTAGTGGGCATTATAAGAGTAGCTGATGCAACTTAATGTTGCTTATGATCTGGCAATATGACTAGTCTGGATAATGCTATACAGTTAACTGTTCTAAGATAGGTCAATCTAACTGTCAATGATTCCGGTATTCGAGCGGCAAAACAGTCATATAACACATTTAAACAAAATTTTGCGTTAGAGGGCCTGTGTGTACAATTTTATAGTAAGTAGTTAAACATGCAGAACAATTCAAAATATGATAGCAGGAATTGGTGAGACTCATTCACATATGTGTAGATCATGCTAGACTTGCGGACGCTGATTTAATCACATAACATGCTGGCTAGGAGTATAATAACAGGTTAGGTACGCCGTCACAGGTTATGTAGATAGATAAAAACAAGCTATTAGCAGGTTTAATACCTGACTCACTGATTTGTTTGTTAGCCTGAGCGAGTTCAATGGAGCTAGTGTCTAGTTGTATAGACTATGCTAGGCTCTCTATTGCTGCCTGGGGTTGTGTAACATGCTGGCTGGAATCGTATAACATGCTAGCTGGAGTCATATAACGCCTCTCTTGTAATATAGCATGTATTGGCATAGGCAGGCAACTAAAAACATAAAAAAGAAAAACCAAAAACAAAGTTTAAGCACATAGTCAACAGCTTTGTTTGTCTGGGTACAGACGGGTTGAACTGTTCTTGCATGTCCTAGCGGGTGGCATGGGTACCGTGCTCGGGAACAATTTGCAGGGTCAGCCAA